GGTGTTTTATGATTTTGTGTATATTTTCCTGTATCTGGGAGATAATCGAATTAAGATCATTTAGACTCAATTATCTCTCAGCTGCAGGAATTAAGGGGAGGAATTTATGTATGAACCTGGAGGGAGGCTGTGTATTGTGGGTGTGTTCTACATAATGTAATGACTGCTGTGCATTGTGGATAAAAGGAGGCCACTTGGTCTGGATTAAACATTCCAGTTTATGCTCCCAGAACTATGTGTCGTCTGGTTACTGAGAGGGCAAAGAGCTACTCTATAATCACTGTTCCAGTGTGGAGGATTCAACAGAGAGAGTCGTTGTAAGGACTAGAGCTCCGAGGACTGAGTGTCATCCAGAGCCTGGGGGTGTCTGGAGCGAATTCCCCATTTGGCTCCAGGAGGGAGCGATTCCAGGACCCCAGTCAAGCCACGGCGACTGTGGCCAGAAGTGCTGCGGTTTGTCCCCTGTTCCAGCTAGGAAGCAGTCCTTGGCGGAGGTACCCAGCCAAGGGTACAGGGAGCTCCATTACAGAGGATATGATAGAAACATTTAAATACATACAAGAAGACATAGTCTTAAATTAGAGGTACAAAGGTTTAAAAATAATATCAGGAAGTATTACTTTACTGAGAGGGTAGTGGATGCATGAAATAGCCTTCCAGCTGAAGTGGTAGAGGTTAACACAGTAAAGGAGTTTAAGCATGCATGGGATATGCATAAGGCTATCCTAACTATAAGATAAGGCCAGGAACTAATGAAAGTATTTAGAAAATTGGGCAGACTAGATGGGCCGAATGGTTCTTATCTGCTGTCACATTCTATGTTTCTATAACAGAATGGCACAATCATAAAACAAAATATGGCAACAAAGAAAAAAATGAAATGGCCCCTGTTATAAGGTTTGCATACCCTTAATATGGTGTATTGCCCCTTCAGCATGACAGCGAGCGTCTTTTGTAATATGAGGCCCCTAATTCTTACAGGTGATATAGCTGCCCATTCATCTTGGCAAAATGCCTCCAGGTCATGCAAAGTCTTTGGTCGTCTTGCATGAACCGCACGTTTGAGATGTCCCTAGAGAGTCTTGATGATATTAGTGTCAGGAGTCTGTGATGGCCATTCCAGAAACTTAACTTTTTCCTGCTGTAACCACTCGAGGGTAACTTGGCCTTGTGTTTAGGGTCATTGTCGTGCTGGACAGTCCAAGAGCATCCCATGTGCAGCCTTCGTGCAGAAGAAAATTGTCTGCCGGTATTTTCTGATAACATGTTGCATTCATTTTGCCATCAATTTCACAAGATTCCCCGTGCCTTTTTATCCACCCCCTCCCTCCTGCTTCACAGTGGGGATGGTTTTCTTTTCACTATAGGCCTTGTTGACCCCTTTCCAAACATGGCTCCCATAGCTGTGACCATAAAGCTCTATTTTGGTCTTGTCACTCCAAATTACAGTGTGCCAGAAGCTGTGAGTGTCAAGGTGTTGTCGGGCATATTGTAACCTGGCTTTTTTGTGGCAACTCGACTACGCACGTCAATCCACAGGTGTGGGAAATGAACCTTTAATCAATTAATTAATTTACTTTTAACCTGTGTCTGTAACAAGGCCAGACATTGAAGGGTATGTAAACATTTAATCAGGGCCATTTGGGTGATTTCTGTTATCATTATGATTTAAAAAGGAACCAGACAACTACGTGATAATAAATGGCTGCAGATGACCACTATCCTTCAATAAAAGACATATTATCCAAAATAAATGCCACAATTTCACAACTTCTGCCAGGGTATGCAAAGTTTTGAGCACAACTGTAGCTCAGACTCACCTGCTTTTCAGCTTGTCAAACGGCATTTGCATATCCCCAAAGAAATGAAACCACACAGGGTGTAGATAGAAAAATCTGAATATAAAAAAAGGACGAGGCAGTAATATTTCTTAAAAAACGACTGTCATCAAATTTTCACTTATAGCTTTTTAAAAGTTCATTACATTTAATGAGACTTAATGATATATTTTTTAAATGATGTCTATTCATTTTGGGTAAAATTTTACTATTTTTATCTGGCCGAGCGGCCATGTTGGGTCGGATTCTACTGCCATCTGACCAGCTGCCGCTCAGCGTAACTTGCTGCGGCTGTAATGGCTCTGTGAGCCTGCAGCGGCCGGCAAGTTAGGTTGAGCAGCAGTTAGTCAGATAACAATAGAATCTGACCCAACATGGCCGCTCAGCCAGATAATAGGTGACATTTACTTTAAAAATTGATATTTAAAAAAAAATATATATAGTGTAATTAAATGTAATACACTTTTAAAAAATGAAAATTTGATGACAGTTGTTCTATAACTTGACTCCTGATTATTTCAGGGCTCCACAGCAATAATACTCCCAGTAATGTGCCTGAGTGTATAACAGAGCCCCACAGCAATAATACTCCCAGTAATGTGTCTGAGTGTATAACAGAGCTCCACAGCAATAATACTCCCAGTAATGTGTCTGAGTGTATAACAGAGCTCCGCGGCAATAATACTCCCAGTAATGTGTCTGAGTGTATAACAGAGCTCCACGGCAATAATACTCCCAGTAATGTGTCTGAGTGTATAACAGAGCTCCACAGCAATAATACTCCCAGTAATGTGTCTGAGTGTATAACAGAGCTCCACGGCAATAATACTCCCAGTAATGTGTCTGCGTGTATAACAGAGCTCCACAGCATTAATACTCCCAGTAATGTGCCTGAGTGTATAACAGAGCCCCACAGCAATAATACTCCCAGTAATGTGTCTGAGTGTATAACAGAGCTCTACAGTAATAATACTCCCAGTAATGTGCCTGAGTGTATCACAGAGATCCACAGCAATAATACTCCCAGTAATGTGTCTGAGTGTATAGAAACATAGAAACATAGAATGTGACGGCAGATAAGAACCATTCGGCCCATCTAGTCTGCCCAATTTTCTAAAAACTTTCATTAGTCCCTAGCCTTATCTTATAGTTAGGATAGCCTTATGCCTATCCCATGCATGCTTAAAACCCCTTACTGTGTTAACCTCACCACTTCAGCTGGAAGGCTGGTAACAGAGCTCCACAGCAATAATACTCCCAGTAATGTGTCTGAGTGTATAACAGAGCTCCACAGCAATAATACTCCAGTAATGTGTCTGAGTGTATAACAGAGCTCCACAGTAATAACACTCCCAGTAATGTGTCTGAGTGTATAACAGAGCTCCACAGCAATAATACTCCCAGTAATGTGTCTAGGTGTATAACAGAGCTCCACAGCAATAATACTCCCAGTAATGTGTCTAGGTGTATAACAGAGCTCCACAGCAATAATACTCCCAGTAATGTGTCTGAATGTATAGTGGAGCTCCACAGCAATCATACTCCCAGTAATGTGTCTGTGTGTATAACAGAGCTCCACAACAATAATACTCCCAGTAATGTCTCTGAGTGTATAACAGAGCCCCACAGCAATAATACTCCCAGTAATGTGTCTGAGTGTATAACAGAGCTCCACAGCAATAATACTCACAGTAATGTGTCTGAGTGTATAACAGAGCCCCACAGCAATAATACTCCCAGTAATGTGTCTTTATCTACAATAAATGTGCTTGGTCAGTCTGTGGAAATAAGATACATTGTTCTTGTTAGAAATTACATTTTGGTTGCATAAATCGATATTTATGTCCACTCACACTCCTTAAATTCTCGTGTTCCCCTTTATATATGAAATGTTGGTTGGCATGGTACAGTAATGTGTTTTTATTGATCACTTACTTACATACGTTTGTACATATGAGTGAAATTAGACAGACATGTTGGGCTATTATTAAACCTCTGATTTAAAGTGATTCTGTTATTACGGTTATTGTAGTTTCTTTTGCGCCCATGAAGCGTTATAGAATTTCACATGTTGTTCTCTTGCATGTGCATGGATGTGGACACCCGTGACCATGTTGTATCAGATGCACGTGACATGGAGGGCAACGCACTGTGATTGGTAAATTCCAGCTCAATCTAAAAAATAACCGGGCCATTAGTTTGACTAAAACATAGTGAAACTCTCCACTGTCCACGCTTCCACACCGGACTCGGTTTTCTTTCTTCTAAGGATTTGCTTCTCTGCTCCGACATTGAAATTTATCACTTTAGACCTTACCACATTTTCTGTTTACTATTGTCTAGAGGTAGTCAAGAGCATTTTGGGACATTAATGTTAAAACTAGACAGAGAGAGTTTTTATGTTCTACTCGGATTGATTCATTAATGATTTGTTTTGATTAAGTAAAATACATTGTTATATGGTAGATAATTCAGAGGCGTACCTGGATATCTGGCAACTGGGACTTCATATGTGTTGGCAAACACAACCCAAACTCTAGATTTGTTTTTGTGTGTTACTTAGTGCTGCACTTGTTATGGAAATTACACACACATACACACACACACTCTCCTCACATTTATACAAACATCATACTATGCACATATACATATATATACACACACACACACAAACACACACACATGCTTTGAGGTCTGTTCAATTAAACTGTCAGAGCAGACACTTGCCTTGAGGCCCTGCCGCCAGTGGGCAGATGTGTGCTCTATTGATAAGGAGGTATCCCATGCACCTCTCTGACTGTAGCCTGTTGCAGACACTGCACTTAGGACACCAATGGATATATTATATATTGTCTCAATAATTTAATTTTACTTGATAAGTAGAGATTGTGACATTTGCACATTGGATATGACTTTTTGGATGATGAACACACGTAATGCAGTATTATTCACCACGCTCTGAATTCAATCCGGATTAACATTTTCCTTCTTTACCAAAGGCAAATGCAGTTATATTTCTGTTATTTCAACAGAATAAGCACATACCTTTTATTAATCTTATTTCTGAAAGTCACGTGTCAGAGCACCATTAATGTTTAGTAAATAAATCCCTCAGATATTTTAGCATTTTTACAGGGCTTTAATTAGTAGACACCCAATTTTAAAGAATTAAAAAACAAATTTCAATATTTAGCCAAAAACTGGTGATTTGTAGTCAAAGCATGGCTATTTTAGTTTTGCAATTACGATTTTAATTTACTAGAATTTAATGTTTCGTGAAAAAACATCCAAGGATTTAAAACATTTTTTTTTTTTTTTTTTTACTAAATTGTGAATTGCATGGAATTCGCCAGAGAATTGGTATACAATATCATATTCAGCTATTCTTTCAGCTCAGCTCTTTTGGGCAAAGTTTGCAATTCATTGGTAAACGCCCCAAAATTTACATTTTACAGGGTTATTTACTAACGTAAGAATTCAAAGTGAGTTTCAAGTTCAGCTGGAAACAATCTCTAAGTCAGCTACATGCTATCAATTCGCCAGCTTTGGCCTTAACTTTAAAATAGTGAATAAATGCATGTATTTTCCACGTTTACATGAGTTACTTTCCTGTCCCTGGGATTATGAAAACAACAGTCTACCCTAAATAATGGGAATTAAAAATTGAAATTCAGAACTTTATTAAATAAATGCTTTGTCAAGACAAAAAAGACAAAGATTAGAATAATATAAATTATAAGAATAAATAGTTTACAGCAATCGTCACCTTTCGTAATAAAATGTGAGATATGTTTTTCCTTTTTATTTTTATTAAGTACAAAAATGTTAAACAGAGCACTTACAATTTGTTGTGTTTTCCACAAACTGTTTTCTCAGAATTTTTATGTTATTATTCTGTTATTTATACACCAGCAAAGATTATGAATAGTTTTATTGTAAAGATGAAGAAACAATGAGCTACTGTATCTTGTTAAACTGAAATGTTGAATATTGTGTCAGAAACTAAAAACTCTGAAATGGATTACAAAGGCAGATATCTGTAATATAGGCAGAGACTACCAGACGCTAGAGACAATGCAACTCGTTGAGTCTGAGAGCGGTTTGAAAAGTGGATGTTAAATGAGCTTTATATTGAGTCAACCGGCAGCGTATTTGTGAAAGGAATTATTAAAAAAGGAAAAGAAAAAGAAAATATAGTGCAAAAATTTACTCCTGAAGTAGTGGTTTAAAAAAAAATAAAACACAAACAAACAACAAACAAGGCTATATTGCTGTTTTAGCAAAATCGCTTTCACAAATATCTTACCGCAACGTTACACATTCTTCCCCTAGGATCAGCACATTTTACATTTTTTTGGGAAAAATGAAAAAAAAAACGAAAGAAAAAAGAAAAATACTGCACATCCCGTTTGTGTATAGACCATACATCTTGCTTGTTTATAGCAATCGTTTGCAAAATTATTGCCGATTTTGGAAACTTTAATAGCTACGTCCATTAGTGAAGGGGTTTCTAATATTTGCTCATCCTGGCGATGGCATAGACCAGGCATAGACCAGGCATAGGCAGCCTTCGGTCCTCCAGATGTTTTGGACTACATCTCCCATGATGCTTGGCCAGCATTATGGGTGTAAGAGCATTATGGGGCATGTAGTTCACAGCATCTGGAGTGCCGAAGGTTGCCTATCTCTGGTATAGATAAATAGTTTTCAAAATGGTTAATATCGATGATCTAGATTCATCTAAAAGGTGTTCGTTATTTCTAATGAAAAAGTACCAGTACTGGTGATAAAAACAATCAAAAAAGACATTCCATGTGCTACGTCCTGCAATCTAAGGCCACATTTTATTAAGCTCTCCAAAGGATTCAATACTATCAGACAATCATTCTAAATTATTTATTTACATAGGATTTAAAGGTGACTTTTGTAGATAAATAAATTGAAAAGTTTTATTTTCTAGTAACATTGAATCATTTGGAAAGCTTATTAAATGGAGGTACTGGGTTAGCAACACATTGCATTGGAAGGTGCATCAATCAATTATATGGAATCAAAAATCGAAACATATGTAAATATATATATATTTACATAGTAGTCTAGGTCAGAAAAATAAAACTAAAGTCCATTAAATTCAACCAAAAAACACATTATTTTATGCTGTTGATCCAAAAGAAGGCAAATAACCCCGTTTTAGAATTTCAAATTATGCCACAAAACGGAAAAAAAAAATCCTTATTGACTGCATAACGGCAATCAGATTTTTTTCTTATTTTAAACACTGCACAAGTCTGCAAGTAAATGCTATGTGCGTACGTAGACACATAGCTTTTCTATGCAAACAAAACACAGATCACTTCCTTGTTATCCTGCACAAGTTTTCTTACATACTATGATACAGACTCCCTATCTAATACTCTGCTACACTCTTGCTACTTACTGTACACTTCCTATTTATGACTTATGGCCAAAATAGATATATATTTTTTACATTCAACGTTGATTTGTGTTACAATGATATTGGCTGCTCAAATCGCACAGCGGCACTTGCTGTTATCATGGGCATGGTGATGGAACTCTTTTTGGTTATCTGCACCTGAAATGTTATTTTCTTTAAACAGTCTAGCTGACGGTAGTCATGTAAAAGTCACAAATTGGCCAATCTTAGGATACATACTATCTCTTCTCTGAGCTGATTTGACATACAAAAAAAAATTCTCTGTAACTCAAAACAAAACACATTTCTACATGCGGCTCATGTACCCATTACACCCTAACCTGTACCTGCCCAATATTAAAGGGACTTGTTACGCACCATAACTACTACAGCTTATTATAGGTTTGATTCTAGAATTCTACAGGGGCAATCCTTCCAATTTTGGTCGAACCATTTCATGCAGCGGTGTGACAGTTTAGATGTAGTGGAAAACACCTGATTCTGTCAAACAGCTTGAAAACAATTTGACAAAAAACAGAGGGATTGCACTTGTAGCCACTAGTACCATAACCGCTGCAGCAGTTTTGGTGCCAAACACATTACTTTTTTCCCTTGCAATCTAGATTTTGTTTTAGAACGCATATAAAAACTGGTGTGAAAACAGTTTAATTTGATAAGTTAAACGTAAACCCCCTCTAAAATGTAGGCACACCATTTTTTTTGTTTCATAATAAAATAAAAAATAAATAAATAAAAATGGAAAAAAATATTTTTCAAGCTACAAACAGCTTACAAATGGTACCTGACATTTCGTTTTTTTCATAACTGAATGTGCTAATCTTTTAGCTTCAACGTGACATTAGAAAAAAACCCTTCCACTGCGTTCATTTTAATTTATCTGCTCAAACCACAATATGTAAAAATATATAACAACTCCTAATAACTATAAACGCATTACAAAAAGACCATGCAAAAATGCTGCAGTTATTCCGTTTTTAATCTATGAAAATGATTACATTTTCCTGCGCTGTCAATTATATTAAATTGTGGTTTGCACTCAATTTCAGAGATTTTGACAAGTATGATTTGGGCTGCTGGTGTACAGGACATGACAATAGCTTACTCACTATCAGAACTCCTAAGGTCTTTTAAAAGTGTGTTTGTCAAAATATAATAATAATAAAAAATAATAATACATTAAAAAAATATATAGGAGTATATTCACTAAAGAGAGCGCTGTGGTGGGTGGACAAATAATTTACAAGATTTTGTCTAAAATAGCAGAAACTACAGAATATTTTGCATAAGTTTCAGTGAGCTATTTGGTTTGGTTTACATAGCACTAAAGCTTCTAGAAAAAAAAAAAGTGTAAGTAGCCAATGTGTATAAATACAGGATCTGGTTAACTAAAACTTCCACAATTCTCTTTCATACGGTTGTTTTTGTTATGTTCAGAAAACCCAAATCTTGTTATTTTACATTTATGGTTGGCAACGGGCTATTTATTGGGTCTATTTGTTGGGAGGATTTTGGGCGTTATGTGTTGATAACAATGTGCTACCTTTGTGTTTGGGAAAATCAATATCCTAATTAAATTATACAACATTTTGCAGGGATGGGATAACTAAGGCACAACACATGGGTGACCACTTTATTTGCCTTGTTATTAAGGGACACCCTTAAGAAATCCATATTTCAGAGTTGTATTTCATGAAGTTGCATTTTAATGAATATAGTTCTGAAACATACATTACTTTTTTTCAATGGTGTCCTTGAATAAATAGGCAAATGTGTTCCCAATACACATATGTGCTTTTAACAAATCATTGCTGTGTAAAAACTGTTCATAACAAACTTGTAATTATTAGCAATTTGTGATTCATAGAGTGGTTATACGAAGTGATCAAACTTGGGAAATAATTTTTTCCTCTCAAGATTATGGTGTCATTGTCTAGTGCAAGCAAATACAGGATGTGAAAACTGCAACACCCACTATAACCAGCCAGCCAGTTTTTGGGTGATATTTGTTGAATATATGCAGACTCTACTATGCTCAGCCGTAGGGTTACCACCAGTGGTACTCCAGCAGCTTTTGAATTTCAAATTCCAGCAAATTTGTAAGCACTTAGCCTGGATTATGGGACTTTAAGTCAACAAGGCTGGAAATCCACAAATAAAAGCCACCTTGTATGGCATTTTTAAACATTGTTCTTAGTTTAAAAAAAAAAAAAAAGAATGTCCAAAATCTTGTGCATTTAAAAACTGCAAACTTGTTACATACTGTGAGCATTTTCTTGAATTTAACAATCACAAACAGTAGGCAAACTTGGCGATTACACGCAGGGCAAACAGATCAGGTCTTCTTAAAAGCTGACCTTTTAGATTCCTAAAGGACAAAAACCATTCAGCTCCGAAATGCATGTTTCACTGGAGCTGAACCAGTCTGGTATAGGACCCACTTTTATATATGTGATTATGGATAAACAGCAAGCGGAAATGCCATAAAGAGATACCAAGCTGTGATGTAGGTCATACGCTTGCCATATGCAAAACAATAATAATAATAATAATAATAATAAAAAAAAAGTCTATAAAACATTCAACATCACAATCTCATGTGTGTGCAGCTGTCAGAATCATCTCTTGCAGTTTAAAAAAAAAATATATATGTGCTGGCAGTATGGGGAAAACACCCCAAGATTATTTCACTTAGAAAGTAGATACCACGTGGCAGTGCCCCATTTTGCAAAGTCCACTTATCAGCGTGCTGTTACTCAGAGAGTACAAAATGAAACATTTTCAAATTACAGTTTGCCATTTTAACTTGTGAACAACCCCAATGACAAAACGTAGTCTTAAATCCACACGTGGGTGAAAGTGGCACAAAGTGGCATGCTCTCCTAAAACATTGGAGACACTTTATCAATGTACACCAGTCCTGTCCCTGAACATATCTGCTGCCGCGGTACATTTTCAAGCATCAATCCTATCCCACTGCATTAATGTTTCACCATTCAAGCAGAGCATTAATATCCACGGAAAATAATTTGTGTCTTCTCTCTGTAAGTCCCCATCTATGGTCCGTGCATTAGCTTGGATGAATGATCTGTGCTGCGCAATAGTCCGTCTCAACTTACTGTCAAGTACGAATTTTCCATTCGCTCAATAATAACATGAAAATATTTAGTTAAGGATGAACATGGGTAAGAAAAAAAAAAAAGCTGACCCATAGCTTTGTAAGGCTTATAAGCAAAGTGGTATCTAAAGTCTTCATTAAAAGCTTGAGTCGTATAATCTCTTGTTGCTGAAGAGTTGAAAACGCCTTTTTCTGTAACAGGCGCCAACTCAGGAAGCAAAAAAGAGATTAACATGTTTATTTCCAAATACAAAACGATTTGAAACTTATCGTTATAGCTTATATTTTTCAACAAACTATTGAAACGTCATATAGAGAACACAGCACCGACAGTCAATAAAAAAGGGGGCATTACCCTATGATTACCCAATTACCATAGTGCCTTGTTGCCAAAGCTGAAAGATCATTTTCAAAAATGTTCTTTAAATTAAAATAAATTGAAGCAATTTTTTTTCTTAAAACAGGATATCCTGTATAATCTGCAATGAGTCACACCCTCCTTCAACAGTGAATAAATTATATTTATAAAAGATAAAAATAGGGACACCTAACTTTCAGCAGGTAAATGAAATGTACTGTAAGACCTTCTAGCACAAAAGGGCTTCTAACAAATATCACTCTATTGTTACAATAGAGATACAATTAGGCTTGTAAATATAATGGTTTGCATAAAAAAACAAAAAAAAAAAATGAAACAAAATAAAATAAATAAAAATAAATTTCATCACAGCTTTTTTTTTTTAAAGCAAATAAGATGGAACTGCTTACTGCTCCGGTAAAAAGCATACTGAAAAATATTAAAAAGTGCTCTATCATCGGTTAAGTTAAGGTTAATATTTGGCGTCAAAATTCATTGGCTGAATAGGAAGACGCTTGTGACACTGGCAAAAAATGCAAGAATGCAAACATTAACATATCCTGCGTCCTAACTTTGTAGGGAGTGAACAATAATGGAGGATTTTTTCCCCTGGTGCCTGATTAACAATAAGGCACATTAGGCATTTGCTTAGAGCACCACTTATTTTTGGGGGGCTATAGGAGGCAAAAAGGCCTGACTAAATGTTAGCCACCCATATTTTACCTCCTCCATTACAGTCATTGATATTATAACTTTGTATTGGAGAAAAAGGCGAATTAGGTGTATTATTTGTGCTTCGGGGCTCAGGTATTTACAAACACAGCTCTGCCCTGCCCTCCCCCCCCAAAGCAAAAATTCCTCTTTCTCAAATTATTTTAGTCACTGTGAAGGAGTGAATGCAGATATTCACAAGCAAATCTTATGCAGATTGAGTTAATTATGTCTCTGTATAATTAACTTTGTAACTTTTATAAACTCATTGGGACCTAGAGGGAATCAATTAAACTTTTAATAATGGTTCTGACATTTCAGGGTTTTTTTCCGCTCTCTTTTTGGAATAAAACCAACAAATACTGGGTTGCTTATTCCTAAAACCAAACAAATTAAAATGACCGACACTCTATGCCTTCATCAAGCATCAATAGTTGAACAGGAACTTAGACCAGCTTATTGGCTTTAGGAGAAAAATAAAATAATGCAACAGTACTTTTATCGAGAGAACTTCTCCATGGCTCCTTTTTCCCCTCAAAAAAGCATAATACACTTTTTTGTGTCACCCCCAAAATTCACGATTTTTTGTTTTTTTTCTTTCTTTAAATAACGGTTTCCCTTTTTTGGTTGGTATTTCTTTGTCTTTTTTGTTTCGTTTTCCAACTGAAGGTGTTGAAAAGAAAAAAAAACGTTCGGTGTTGCCGATGAGATGAGAAAAAGACAAATTAACAAAAAAAAGAAAGTATCACTCTGGATATCCGCCCCTTTCAAAAAATTTTTTTTAAAAAGTGATCACGGTGAGCCTTAGCAGGCGTCAATACTGGAGAATCATTCAATGTTGCTGCTGTCAAAACTGTGACATTGAAGATCGCCGGCTGCATAGTCACTACCAGGAAGCTTCAAACCATACTTGTCAACGCACCAGCAAATTCCCCTCTTGCGACCTCTGGAAGGTTTGCACTGTCGACAGAAAACCAAAAGTGAGACTAAATCATTGGGGGGAAAAATAAGTAGGAACTATTACTATGTAGGTAAAGGGCAACTCATCATATTTATTTAAAAATAAAATATTACACATATTATATTTGTAATGCATACCTAGAAATAAATATTTTTCAATGGATCGTCGTTTACCCCTCTTTCCTTTGGGGCAGCCATCTACAAAGGGACACCATAGGAACATGTGTTCCTAACACTATAGAGTCCTAGTGCCTAGTTAGATTATTAACCCAAAGGGAAATATTAAGAGGCTAGTGTGCATTCGCGGCAAATCTATGCCCATAGCATTTGCTGGAGAATCTAGTCTGACTCTGTTCTCACAGGGGAAGGAACTCATCTGTCAGGAAGACACTAAATCTACTAAATGGCAATGCTTTAGATTGCAGGGTAAAAACTAAAGGTCTTCTGCACCCAGACCATTTAATTGAAACAAAGTGACTTGGGTTTACCTGACCAAAAACCATATACCGGTAGTTAACCAATAGCTAATGTGGGTTAATCAAGCCCGATGTCACAGTCTAATGGCAATCATCTATAAACTGTGCTCTGGGATGGCTTGAGTGTTTGAGATGGTGTATGGTCTTGGTTAATAAGTGGTGCTTCCCAACAAAGAACAAGTACTGAACATTTTTATCTATCTATCTATTTATATCTAGGTATTTACTAATATGTATACACAATTTAAAAAAACAAAAAATACAAAGAACATATTTTGCATGCAATATTCCTTGTACAAGCTTAATAAGACACGGACATGATTACTATAGGGCTCTCCGCCCCTCTGAGATATATATATTTATTTATTTATTTTTGTGTGTGCTTTTACTCAATTTTCTTCTACATTGTAGGCTTGTTGAGCAGGGTCACTTCTAACGCATTTACTGGGATAGAGAAGAACTCAACAATCATCTAGTCAATGGTGACATTTCCTTATTAAGTCTAGATTAGTCTGGGTTTAATCTGTGTTGAAATAAATCCTGAAAATGAAGTCTGAATCAGTCGATATATACAATGGCTCACCTGTTTCCTTTTGAAGAAGCCCTTACGGTCACAGTTAGGCAGATAAAATGCTCTTGGATAGACCCTGTGAGACACTTTCATGTCTTGCATGACAGTTTCCACTTGCCTGCGGCAGGGTCCCTGAGGGAACAATCAGACTCATTAAACTGAAGGTCTTCAAAGCTGATTCACCGATTAGCACAATTTGGCTGTTCAGCTTGAACAGGTCGCATGCTACAGGTACTCACCGTTTCAGACTCAGTGCTGTGTTCTGGAGTAGACGGTGGCTGGGCTTTGTTCTCGACAGAAACCACCCTGTAAAGGTTCTGCTTCTTGTTTCTGTAATTATTCAGCGCAATTGCTTTCTGCTCCGAAAGACGGTCTAGCTTTCCACGTTTATCTTGATAATTATCACCTGTCATCTCCGCTGTGGTTGGGTCTTCCTCTCTCGATTCTCTCTCTAAAAAGCAAGAGAATAAATTCTTAGTGGTTGATATACTGTAAACGTGAGACAATCATATGGTGAAGAGCGTGGACTGAAAGACAAACCACCCTCACCAGTCATGAAGGTCTTCCAAAGCATGAAATAGATTAAAAAAAAAAAAAAGCAAAAAAAGGTCTTAATAAAGTCCAGATGATTGGGAACAATAGACAAATCATTCATTAACTTATTGCGAGTCACCAAGATCTAACAAATACCGGAGTGTTTCACATTGTGGCAAATGCTTTACATGTTAAATAAAGTGCCACATCACGCAGACAACATTTAGGAAATTACTAGAAGGACTATGTTGTCTGTCGGTGGAATGCCAAAATATCACTCAGCAACAAATTGTCATGCTGTTTGCTGTTTGGTAAAACATTCCAAAACCTCCCCAACTTATTGCGCACATCCCCCGTTTCTAATTATTTAAGTAACTGAACTAAACAAAAACCACACACAAACAAAAAAAGAAAGAAATAGATTTATACCCCACGAACCTCCCCCTCCCTACATTGGCAGCAACTTGGTTAAGTGAATCACCCTTTCCATAAGCCATCACATAGCCAACTTTATTTTTCTGCACATTGGGCTTTTTAAAATGGGAAGACACTGCCAAGTCTTTATAAACTCCAGCAAATATCTTCCTGCTACAAGTAAACTGCTGCAACAATCGATGGCAGGTACTGATTATGCAGATATGGTATGGGACAGTTAATATCGAAAGATAAAGATTAGTGATGGGGCAGAAAATACGGGCTCTACAATACTGTTCCAAAGTAGAGACCTCTTACAGCACATCGGGGTGTGACGGAGGGTGGGAGACAGGGATATAGTCTGCATGTGATATGATATGTTTTAATGGAAACTCCAGGCATCATAACTGCTGCAGCATATTGTATTATTCCAGTTTTTTTGTATTATAACAGTTTATCGTACCATTACAGCATATTGCATTACTACAGCTTGTTGTATTATAACAGCTTATTGTACCATTACAGCATATTGCATTACTACAGCTTGTTGTATTATAACAGCTTATTGTACCATTACAGCATATTGCCTTACTACAGCTTGTTGTATTATAACAGCTTATCATTCCATTACAGCATATTACATTACTACAGCTTGTTGTATTATAACAGCTTGTCGTACCATTACAGCATATTGCATTACTACAGCTTGGTGTATTATAAGAGCTTATCGTACCATTACAGCATATTGCATTACTACAGCTTGTTGTATTATAACAGCTTATCGTATCATTGCAGCATATTGTATTACTACAACTTGTTGTATTATAACAGCTTACCATTTCATTACAGCATATTGTATTATTCCAGTTTATTGTATTATAACAGCTTATCGTACCATTACAGCATATTGCATTACTACAGCTTGTTGTATTATAACAGCTTATCGTACCATTACAGCATATTGCATTACTACAGCTTGTTGTATTATAACAGCTTATCGTGCCATTACAGCATATTGTATTATTCCAGTTTATTGTATTATAACAGCTTATCGTACCATTACAGCATATTGCATTACTACAGCTTGTTGTATTATAACAGCTTATCGTACCATTACAGCATATTGCATTACTACAGCTTGTTGTATTATAACAGCTTATCGTGCCATTACAGTATATTGTATTATTCCAGTTTATTGTATTATAACAGCTTACCGTATTATTACAGCTTATTGTATAACAGCTTATCATGTCATATTATTACAGATTAATGCATTTTTTTGTCAAAATCTTTGCAAGCTGTTTAACAAAACAAAGGTTTCACTGGCCCCAAATGCCTTGTGCCCTACCGTCCTAAAGTCCATATGGGATCAGCAATGCTCACCCTGTGCAATGACAGGAGAATAAAGCAAATATATATTGGCAAGAAAGATATGACAAGAGAAGCAAGAGTGTATGGGTGTCTGAGTGTGAGGACGGAGAATGCAGGTTATACTCTATATTTTATTTGTATTTAGTGACAGCACCTCTCACCCCCTCGGGACATTAGGTAGAAGGCAATCTCCAAGGCTTTATACGTTGAATTAATTACAAATCAATATGCACAATTTAGGCAAAAATATGTTGTTGATTGTGAGCTCACTGGTTAGTGGGTAAAACTGCTGCATGAGTGCCAAATCTCCAGCCAGATGGCATCAATTGGCTCAGGTGTTAAATAAAATGTGTTCTTATGACTTCTGTTTATATTACATTAAGTCAGCCTGTTACATAATGTAACAAGCAATACAGGGTTACGGGGAGCTGCAGATCCAGATTTGACAAGCACCATCTTATAGAGACACTTAGTATATTACACTGCAAAAATATTCAAGGCCAGCAGGGGGAGCTGTATCTCCATTCCTCAGAACCGTCACATATTCTCTTATTAACCTGTTGTGTATGGGAATTCTTATTTTCCGATCTGTCATTTTACTCAATGAGAGAAGGGACAGTGTCTATAAAGAGACCTAAAGAGTTTTGCAAGTCACTTTTAAAGAAGCTTTTGCAAGTCTATTATTCATATAATTATAATATATCAATTACAGCCATCAGAGCTTATGCATATTATTAGTTAGTGGGGGAGGATTAGGGTCGAAAAGCATTGCTTTATGTTCACAACCAACACGTATTTAATCCTTTGATATTTATTCTTTCTAGCGGAATTCACTCAAATGGTTATTGTTGGGAATTTACAGTTTTACTATTTTGGCCAAACTCATTAAGCTACCTATTAATTACATACAATTAATGCATAGGGCTAAATGTGTCGCGTTCACCATGGTAACCAACACACTGTTCCTGTGGATTAAATTAAGTAATTATACCCCAGTGTAATCCCCTCTGTCTGAGAAATTAGACTGTTCACAAATAATCAGTAATAGTCAGAAAGCTGTGTAAACATTTAAACTGTTAGCGGGTTTTCATCCCTCCCCTCACCTCCCCATGACTCCTCTCCTGCAACTGTCAAAAATAACCTACTAAGTTCTCAGTGAATACTTTTATTGCAACCTATTTCATTACCCCTACCTTTTGTGTCACTATACCCCACTCCCTCTAGCTTGTAAACTCATTGAGCAGGCCCTCAATCCCTCTGTTACTGTGTCACTATACCCCACTCCCTCTAACATGTAAACTCACTGAGCAGGGCCCTCAATCCCTCTGTTACTGTGTCACTATACCCCACTCCCTCTAACATGTAAACTCACTGAGCAGGCCCTCAACCCTCTGTTACTGTGTCACTATACCCCACTCCCTCTAACATGTAAACTCACTGAGCAGGCCCTCAATCCCTCTGTTACTGTGTCACTATACCCCACTCCCTCTAACATGTAAACTCACTGAGCAGGCCCTCAATCCCTCTGTTACTGTGTCACTATACCCCACTCCCTCTAACATGTAAACTCACTGAGCAGGGCCCTCAATCCCTCTGTTACTGTGTCACTATACCCCACTCCCTCTAACATGTAAACTCACTGAGCAGGCCCTCAATCCCTCTGTTACTGTGTCACTATACCCCACTCCCTCTAACATGTAAACTCACTGAGCAGGCCCTCAATCCCTCTGTTACTGTGTCACTATACCCCACTCCCTCTAACATGTAAACTCACTGAGCAGGCCCTCAATCCCTCTGTTACTGTGTGTCCATTTGTTTGGTTACAATTACGTGTCTGTTAGTCCACCCATTGTACAGCACTACGGAATTTGCTGGCGCTATATAAATAATAATGATAATAAACAGGACAGTTACTGTTACCACTTAAAAACACACCAACATGTTCCGCAGCACTGTACAAAGCAATTGACAAACCGTTACACAAAATCTGGCTATTGAATCTTCAACAACATGATATTTGCATGTATCGTTTACCTTCAGTAATGCTCAATTTAATCTATTCATAATGCTGCCAAGAACAGATACATTTTACATACAATTTGTATTCCACAGCCGTGAAATGGTTAAGTCACATCGCTGTGTGGCACGCCTGAAAGGGTTTATACAGGGAGGCTATCTGGGGACATCACTACTGTTACTCTGACTGTGGCAACATTGCTCCTGGACCTATTTCTGTTTGAGGATAATCCAAGTGCATTAAACATGTTCTGCTGCCCTTTTATCGGAGGCTCTCCCACCTATTTTCCTTGGCAGTGAGCGGATCTCTAGGTTAGGTCAGAACTCCCGCTGTACCGATTTGCTGATAGTCAGGGCCACTAACACAGGCAGAGTCGGTTCCAACATTGCCTGTTCTGTGATTGGTATCCCTCTCCCCACTAAACTTGTCATGTTTCCAGCTTCTACTCATAGCAAACTTTTCACTTAACACACAACAAAACAAGCAAACATCTTATAGCAATGGTTATGGTGCAAAGAGTCTCTGTGTTCTGTCAAACCAGGTTTGTTAAAAGAAACACAAACCGGTATTCCTTACACCTAGTGTCATGGCCCCTTGTTAGCTAGAAGCCCCCTGTGTGTTCCATAAAAATAATAAAATTAGGCTTTTTACTCACCTTTTCCCAGCGCAGAAGCCCCCTCGGCACTGCTAACATCGCCTCCTCCTGCGATGTCGTGGTCCACTGCTTCTCATGGAGGACGTGATGTGCGTTAGTGGCAAGCGTCGCATCACATGGCCAAGTTTTACTCTGTCAGCTTAACAGCCGCTGGAGGTGTGTTTAACCCTTCAAGGTACAAACTGCCATTTCTGCAAAACGGCAATGTTTTACCGTGACGGATTAAACGGACAAGACAACTGCATTGAGATAAGAGTGGTCGGGGTGATTTTAGTGGTCCTTTAATCTAGCACAGTCTGACCATAGATAAACCTCCCTGAACAGCACAGTACAACGCCATTTCTGCTGTGCACGTATGGCTGTGCCGTGTGTCCCTTGTCTGGGTGTGCCTGTGAAGTGCATTCGATAAATGACACTCCCCGGCGCTTGCTCCATCACTCCTGTCCTCAATACCTATCTCCACGTGTTGGGAGACATTATTTTAGAACATATCTCCCAGCATGCAACTGTCCTCCATAGGCTGATTGGCTGCTGAGAGTGTATCCATTTTAATTCTTTTCAGGAGAAAGGAAATGTAACATTGTTCCAATGCCAGCTGTAAAATACACCCCTCCCAAATAAGTAAAACAATCCCTGTTGAATTCTATTTGTACAAATATTGTGCCATCTACTGTACTGTTTGCAATCATAACAAAGCATTGATCAGAACATCCCAACAGCCATGATTGCACTCAGTCCCACAAATCTCAGCCAACTACTGCTCACGGAACACACTATTTCTATGCTCTGTCACAGGGGCTGGCTGCTACAAGTGTTTATCAGCTCACTTTAATAACTACACCATTCTCATTTTAGAAAATGACTCCATTACCGAAGCACATTGCGTTCACGTTATTGCAGACCTGGGTTTTAACCCGAGTTCCTGCAGAAAGATCACACTTAAAGCAGCTGGATGGGAGTTAATTAACTGTTCTGAGTGGGGTCAAAGGGCAGCATTAGTAAAGTAGCCAAGAGTGTGGCTAATGCAGAATGGCTGAGAGCAGGGGTCCTGACCTTGGCTAGTTCAATCTGCCATTGATTCCAGGATAAGTCATTTCTGATACAGTAGCCCCTGTTCCCAGGGAACCTGGCCTTTGTCCAAAGTGAATTTTCAAGTCACCAGAACAGCTACAGTGCATTTCGTAGAGGATCATGGGAAAGAGCAACACACACAAGGCTATTAACAAACAAAAGAAACATAAAAAGTAAATAAAAACAGCAAAAGTAAAACAAATAAAAACAACATTTCTTTAATTTCAACAATTGGCAGGACATTAATTAATGCAGAGAAAAACATTATCTGCTTTTACAAAAGTGTATTTCTCTGCATTACTCATTCTGTGCTGCTCCGGGCCTATATTGTACAGGGGTCAATGGGACTCCTTTATTTGCAATGATGAAATACTGAGCAAGGTATCTGTGTGACACTGTACATGTATGCCAAGAATGCTCTACATTTACAAAGGTTTACATAGTTTAACACTAATTTAATAAAACGTGTTATCAGCCAACTACCAGCCAATCCTGTTGCCCTAACATTCCAACTAACACAACTGTATCTTTTTGTTACAAGGGAATGAATATTGAAATGGAACATATCGGGAATTCTGTAGAAAGTACACTTCTGGGACAACATTCTAAAAGGTTTTCAATTACTAGGGCGACCAGTGGAATGTTCAGTTTTAGGGCTCTGTCCTCAGACTTGCTTTCAGCGCTGAGGTGCGCAATAGTAAAGAGTAAACCATCATAAGAAATCTCCTCTGGCTACCATGAATACACCCTCCTTTTATCCAAATTAATACCAGCTCCTTGCAATTTTTTCCAGCCCCGCACCCCCCCCCCCAAGTCAATCCTTCCCAACCCCCCTGGCTGTAAACACATTACCCGTGTACAAGCAATTTTAAAATGAATTCCTTCCTGGCTTGTTCGCTACACTGAATTAAAGTTAGGATGTGGGATTAGTTTTGTTCTCGATTTGGAAACATTTCGAAGATTCCCCTTGAAGCCATTAACCATTCAGTGTTCGGGAGAGGGGCCAGGCTGACGAGGAACAGGGCCAACGGACACTGTCACCAGCTATGGCAGCGGAGAGGTGAACATGCCACAGCTGTCACAAATACCGAGAATGCACATCTTTCTAAAATCTACATTTTATACTTCAGTATACAAAAACTCTTATAGTGTATGTAGTGATGGTTGTCGATTAAAGGGACCCAATAAAACACCAACTACATTTCAACCACCAAAAAGCAAAAAAGAAAAATGTAAAAATTCCATTCTAGCCGGCTGCTTGTTTTTATTTTCTGACGTAAGTAAACTGTGAAATGGCTTATTACAAGTCAAAGACAGCCTGTGACAGCTCTAATGCAAACAAAGCTCTGTGTGGGAGAGATTAGTGAATAGGTATGTGTATAGAACTCCACACATGCACATAAGTCAAGTCCATTATACGGCCAGTATGACTACCAGGACTGGAAAGTGTACGGTGCTTAGAGCACGTCTAAGACAACCCTCAACACTGAGAGTGGCATACACACGTCGGCGGCGATTTTTATATAAATCTGTTGCTGTATAACACCCCACCATGACACAGGGCTGTCAGTCAGGAAATATGAAACAATTCCAGGCTGCCTGGGCCAATTCTGTACCGGCCAAAATGAGCTTACAATCTAAAAATGTACTAAAGGGACGGCTCTCTCCTCCTTAAACAGTGAGCTGGTCTGTGTATACACCGGTAGTACTGCTATCAGCTTATTGAGCAGTTCTAATGATCCTATGTGAGGAGTTGACCAGCTTTTGACCAACATCTGCTGGAGAGGGCTTTATGGGATAAGATCAGACCCCATTAACCAGAGACACGGTTATGATTGGAGCATCTTACCCTGATGTGGGAGGGGCCTGCTTGCATCTGCTGGCCCCAGCAGGGGTAGGCAACCATCGGTACTCCAGATGTTGTGGACTACATTTCCCATAATGCCCACCCATGCACTACTAGACAATGAACTGAGAGACACTTTGCAGAAAAGTTACTTTTTAAAATATCTTTTAAAACCTAATTTAAATAATTTTAATATCAGTTTTTGACTATATATTATATCTATATAATGCCTAAAAATACAGGGTTAGTTTTTATCCTAGACTAAACCTGTCTTCTATGGGGGCGCTGAGAGCCTTAGAAAGGAGAGAAAGACATGCACTAATCTCAAAATTACAAATCAAATATGCCTAAATAAGCTAGACCCGTCAAAAAAACAAAAAACATGAGTGAAGCTATACAGTTTTGATAAACAGAAAAGCTGTGCGTGGGTGACAAGGCCATCGATATTTTTTTGAGTAATTGGAAAACAACAATAGATCTGTTAAATTGTTACTCCAGGGAAAAACCCAGACAATTTCTTCCTTGTTTATAACGAACCTGTGTTTGAATGCAGGGACTCTCACATAATAAATACACGATTAGATTGATAAATAGTTACCAGTATCTGTAAGTATAATGATATAAAATCATATCTGATGCCTGGTACCTCTTCGTGCTGCACAGGAACAGATCAGGTATTTTCACCATTTATTGATGGCCCCAAATTCCTTACAATAGTATTATTATTATTTTATTATTTATATAGCGCCATCAGATTCCGTAGCACTGTACAATGGGTCATGACACAACAGTAACAACCGCAAACAGAACAAACAAGTGTCAACTGCAAGCTTTTGGGTCAATTCATCTTATTTGTCTTGGATTTAATTTTATTCATTAAAAGGGTATTTTGAGTCATCTATGCACATTTGAGAGAAACTCACCTCAACTGTTTAGTGAAAAAAAAAAACAATACACACATACTGCGATATCGCCAGCAAAGAAAGGGGCGGAGTCAGGAACTGTATTATGTTTCTCTCATAAGATATCATACCCTGTCTTTCTTTTGTTTAGATCTCTTTATTGGTTTTACCCAGATGGAAACATTTATTTAGATCTTATCCGACAAAGACTGATTCTACAGAAACGTGCATTATGTTTAATGCTAAAAAAAAATTCTAAGTCTCGAAAATTCAAGCAATCTTAGGAACTATAGCAGCACTCTAACGCCAAGTGCTTTATTTACTAAACATCAAATTGTAGTGAACTAAAACCAAATTTCATCATTTAGGCTAAAATACAGGAGCTGGGACTATACCCGATTGGATAATTTCCCCCCCCCAAATCAGCATGTTTTGCCAAATTTTGCAGTTTGCTTTTCCGCCCACTAGAAGCTGGCATTAGAAGTTGCTTGGCCAGATACAGTGTGGAGGTTAAAAGTTGCCTTTCGTGAATCTCTTCTGCAGATGACAAGGCTGCTGTGAGCTTTGACAGAAGCACTTTGCAATGAAAGCGTTTTATTCCGTGGGACCAGGCTGGTTTTTAAATAGCCCATGTGAGAGCTGGGGTCAGGGGCATAAAAAACAAACAGCACATTCCCTGCAAGCAGCGGTGAATGCCCCCATTTCACCAGGCATAGCAGCTGGAGAAACATGACCTTTTCTGTATTTGTGCCCCAGTGACCTTTTCAAATAAACCCATTTCTTCAATTGTCCATTCTACACACACACCTGCTGGCCCACCCCCCACCTCTTGCACTTTACACCCTTTCAACGCCAGGCACCATTCAACACTTGGGTTATTGACAATCCAATTTATTTTGAGGGGCAAGGCTAACCCGCAGGTGGCCGTCTTGCAGGACAGGACTTGTAAAATCTCCTCTCCAGACTAGCTATCTGTTTAAAAAGTGGCTTCCGCTCAGGACGAGATTGCCTGTCTAAGAAGATGATGTCTAACCTTGACATTGCCATTAGGCTGACTGAGCATCATGGGAAATGTAGTTTACAGGGTTCTGCATTTAGCTTTATTTTTCACACTTCACCATCACATTGATTTGCTAAATATTGGGTGTGTGTGAGCACAATATTAAATCTCAGGACAGTGACCATGGCCCTTTAATTTGCAGCGAGTAAAGTACATGTTATCACCTGTTACCAATATTTCTGAAACAAGGCTGGCTGGACCATATGCTTTAACTCAGGTAAATTAATTGTGGAAAACATGCCTGTGGTCCTTCGGCAGCCGTGTCTTGGAGGGGAAAACAGGGACTGGAATTCCAGAAAATGACCACCTCTGCTCCCGATTTCCCTCACCAGGTCTACAGATGGTGAAATCACATCCTCTGCTAGACTTGCCGCGTCCTGCTGCAGAAAGTAGAGCTCTGTCCATACGGCCAAGTCAAAAACTTGGCATCCTACATGAACCAAAATCCCATGCCAGGCACCTTCACCTACTTAAAATCTCGGCATCAGATCCCTGCCAAAGCACTAAGCCTTTAGATATTATTTGATAGGAAAACTGTAAGCACCAAAACCACTTCAGTCTACTGTAGTGGTTATGGTGGTAGAAGTGACCAGACGCACATTTTGACAACTTACCTGGGTCCCGCCATGAGTGTTCACCACATCTGGTCTTCTCCAGCAGGAAGTCATTGCTTAGAGCAGGACTGCAATCACCTGCTGAGATGTCCTGTGATCGCTGTCAGCCAATGAGTGCAGCTCTGCACTCGACGCTTTTCCTTATAGTACAATTCAGCTTCTCCGGCACTTGGTGGAACCCAGGTATGATATCCAACCATGTTAAAATGGTTTGACATCTTACTGTGGGATGGCGCCAGGGAACTCTTGGTACCATAACCACTACATCGGGCTGAAGTGGTTATGGCGCTTGAAGTATTCCTTTAATCTCACGCAGCTAGTTTTTCCAATCCCACCATGTTTTCAAACATACATATGACACCTTCATTGTGTTGGGCAGGACAGAAAATGTGCTTCCTTGCAGTATGTAGAATTCATATCCTGCAAAAGGAAAACATATTGACTAATAGAGGCAGTTTGGAAATTTGCCTTCATTAATAAATACATGATGTTAGTTAGTGGGCATGCATTCCTCAGAATTAACACTAGCTAAATGCTGAAAATATAACTTTCTCTCTAATAGCAGAGGGTTGAACAAACAGTTTCTGTGAAAGATTCATCTCAGGACCATTTTTGTTCTTTCATGGCAGCAATTTGCTCCCCCTACCCCGACCACACACCTTTACAAGCACTCTGAGACAGAGTCAGCATAAAACAGCTGCATCTCCACTTTTTACAAAAGGAAATATTTTCTAAAAAAAGCACCGACACTTTCCAAAACATTTCTCCCTGTGGTTTATTTTAGACGTGAGAATCAATAAACATATAACAAAGTAACCGAATGATCGCCCACGTGGTCATGATTGAGTAAATTGTGAAAATTGTCCACACATTCTCCAAACTCAGTCACTGGACCTCACCTTCCCTACAACCGCAGCATTTAGTAAAGGAACATCCAATCGGCCGACCCAGTATTAGAATCTCCTCTGCAAATCACAGCGCAGGGTGAGCTTTGGGCCTTTTAGGAACAGGGTTAAGTAGATACAACTAATGGCCAAAAGCTCGGCCCACACACTGAGCTATAAGGTTTATTCACTAAAAAGTAAATTGTAGTCAAGTAAAAATTGAACAGCGAAATTTAAATTTGTAAAAATTCAGAAATCCAGCTATAGCTTAATACCATTGGCGGTGTAAAGATGCAGCAATTTAATACGTTAAATGCCAAACTGAAGCTAAACTAGTCAACCTGGCCCAATCGCTAATTTGGAAAGGTCTTATTAAACTCTATTACGATTCACCCGCGCTCCACGTGTCTTGTTCACAAGCCTTGTAATGTTTCTATTGAATGTGTTGCCTTTGGCAGTTGTTTAATATTGATACTTTGGCTTTATTTACTAATCAGTGAATTTATTTGTCCCTGAAACACTAGCTGGGTTTTTCACTAAAGTAAGAAGTGTCACAAATTCATAGAGAATTTAAAATTTAAAGGGACGCTATAGTCACAAAACAACTTTAGCTTAATAAAGCAGTCTTGGTGTATAGATAATGCAGGCTCACTGCTGAATTCTCTGCCATTTAGAAGGTAAATCACTTGGTTTATGCAGCCCTTGTTTACTTGCTCTGGTTTCATTTTCAATCAGATGTTAACTTGCTTTAGAAGCTTTATCTCCCGTTCTGTAGATTTAACTTTAATTACACACAGGAGTCTCGGACAGGCATAGGCAACCTTTGGCACTCCAGATGTCTTGGACTACACCTCCCGTGGTGCTTTGCCAGCATTATGGGTGTAAGAGCATTATGGGAGATGTAGTCCACAACATGGAGTGCCGAAGGTTTCCTATCCCTGGTCTAAGAGGATATTAACAAAGCAGGAGATAATATATTATAAATTAAATAGAATGTGCAATAAAGAACGTTTATTGCCCCCATGGGGCAGAAAGAGTTAAGAACCCTTAATTTACTTACCTGAATTAGTGCCGAGGGACATCAGGTAAGTAAATTAATTTACTTGATTTACTTACCTAGTGTCCCTCGGCGCTGATTCAGGCTATGCCTCTGCTCCTCCCCCAACGCTGGGGACCTAATGCTCAAGTGCAGTAAACGCAGCCCTCGCATTAGGACAACCCCATAGGAAAACTATGTATCAATGCTTTCCTACAGGCTATTAGCCGACGCTAAGAGAGCGAGGACCTCCAGCATCAGTTAGGCGACCCAAAGTAAACAGTAAAGGTAAAGTTTACCCTGCAAGGCAATTATTGCACTTTCACAATAACTACAATAATTACCATTGCTGGGGTAAAATGACACTGCACCCAGAACACTTCAATGCGCTGCACTGGGCTGGGTGCCTATAGTGTCCCTTTAATGTACCTACAGGATTTGAACGCACACAAAAAATAAAAAGTATGCAGATTTAAACGGTACCTGCCATGAAGATAAGGCTGGGTGACACTTTATAGGTAGCAGTAACACTCTATGCGTACATTATGCTGACCACGTAACTAAATTAAAGATTTAGGGACATTTTCATTTTACTGTTGGACCAAAAAAAGACAACGTATCTCCTATAGTTCCTAGCTTAGAGCTGGTCAGCTGTGCCGCCCCATCCTTAGACCATCTTGAAGGAACACTATATAGAGTCAGGAATACAAATCTGTATTCCTGACTCTATAGTGTTAAATATGCAGTTTAGAACCCAGCCTCCCATCTCTCCCCCTCCCCCTTAAAAGTTGTTAAACCCTACCTTTATTCCAGTGCCACACTGGTCCTACCTGCCTCCATGAAGGCGTGGCAAGGTGTGGCATGGAACAAAACACAGCCCTGGCCAATCAGCATCTCCTCATAAAGATGCATTGAATCAAAGAATGCAAAGAATAAAGTTTAGCATCTCCATGAAGGCTGTAGAGACGCTGAACATGCAGTACTATAGTCACCAGAACAACTACAGATTATTGCATTTATTTTGGTGAGTATAATCATTCCCTTCAGACTTTTTGCAGTGAACACTGTTTTTGCAGAGACAATGCAATGTTTACATTACAGCCTAGGGATACCTCCACCGGCCACTCCTTAGATGGCTGCTAGAGGGGCTTCCGGGCGCAGTGATGCACAGTGTGACTGACATTCAGCATCTCCATCCTCTGCATGCAGACACTGAACTTTCCTCATAGAGATTCATTGATTCAATTCAGCTCTATGAGGAGATGCTGACTTTTGGCATTTGGCCTGTGCTGGCTCTGCCCCTGATCTGCCGCCTTCATGGTCTCAGCCAATCCAATGCTTTCCTATGTGAAAACATTGTGATCACCACTTCTGATGATGTCAGTCAAGCAGGCAGATCAGGGGCAGTGCCAACAGCAGCAGACTGAATTAAAGGTAATATTCTACTATATTTAGGGGGGTGGGCAGGGGGCAAGAAATACATGTTTGTGTTGCTCCCCCTATTGTGTTCCTTTAATAAAAACTGGGATAATAATGTATTATAATAAACTTAATCAGTGATCAGAAAGAATATCAAGAAAGAGAACTCACGTCTAAAACTACAATTATAAGAGCCACTTAATTTAAAGTAAATCTCTTCGATTCTGATCTTTATAGATGGGAGGTAGACAAAGATGGTCTTATTGAAGCCCACTTTATGATTAGACGAGGGTCACTATTAAGGAGGAAAGGGGCATTTAACCCCTTAAGGACACATGACATGTGTGACACATCATGATTCCCTTTTATTCCAGAAGTTTGGTCCTTAAGGGGTTAAAGGCATTATGAGAATTGTTCTGGTTATCAAGGGAAATATGTACATTAACAAACATCAGGGTGCAAGGTTAGCTACCCAGCGGAGTACATGGTGACTAGGGCTGAGATCAGATATTGAAGATCCATAATTCCGGCCTGGCTAAATTTCTTTTTTTTTTTTAACGGTGCGTGTTACATAACCAAGTCTGTGCCAGCCATGCCTTGTCAGAATCACAGCACTCGCTGTGAGGCAGTTTGCCAGGAATAATGGATCTGTGGACTGAGCAACAGATTAACCCTTTCAGAACCAGTAAGTCATCCAAATTCCCAACAAAGTCTGGATCTGTGCGATCTACATGAGGCTAGCAGGATGGGTCCTTAAAGGGATGACCAGAGACATCTGTGGAAATACTATGGATGGATATAAATCATCTGAGTATGAGTGCAGCTCAACTACAGTATACATTACGTATGTAAAATGACCAATTAGATATTATTTATTAATATAGTCTTACGAAACTGGGAATCGATAACAGAATCAAAACATGTAGGGCCCAAAAGATCCAAAATGGAAAATAGTTAAACAGAAGAATATTTTCAGTTTGTTTATTTTGATCTCGGACTGCAATCCTTTGTCAATACTCAGTTTAGTGAATAAACCCCAATTGTGCTTATGGATTCCATGTAGAGATATACACACACACGACAAATCTTCACAATCAATAAAACATGCTCCTGGGATGGATTTATATATTCTTAAAAACACATTATTTTCACTCAACAGCCCAAATATTTCACGTGGGGGCAGTGTTTGTCATCATTGCCTTTAAAAATAAAAAATACAAATTAATTTGTTCTCTATTTTCTTAAAAATAAATAAAAAAAAAAAAAACAAAAAAAAAACAAGTGCAAGTGCAAGACACACAGCGCCCCCGCCAACTGAAAAGGTTATAAAAAGTACTGCAACCTTACTAAAAATATTTTTTGCCCAGATGTGATTGCAATCCCTAATATGTACACCTATAACCCCTTTTCACTGTATTTTTTTGGGGAGAGCTGAGTAAACAGTTTCCATGGGTAAAACAATGATGAATATTGTTACATTAGGTTTGTGCTTTGCAGCTGGCTGAACCTTTTGGGAGTGGTGGTGGTACCCCCAGTAGCAGGCGTGTTCCCTGATTACGATGCTAAGCCATGCATTTTTAAAATGTTTGCCAAATAAATATAAAGTATACAAGCAGAAATGAAATCATCATTTAATCTAAGGCATATGTGTCTACACAATGCTCTCCATTCCCAATCTGCTGCCTCGTTCTATATATCCCAGAACGTAGAGGGACAAACTAAGCATTAACTCAACGGGCCAGACATCCTAAGCAGCCCTTCTGGAGCAATCTACTAAATGTGGAGCAGTCACCATGGAAACAAATGGAATTTTCATGCTGATCGCTCAACGTTTTATCCTCTCATCCCTTGTTTTAATAGCTAAAAATAAATATTTGGGGGAGGGGGTGGGAGAATTCGAAGAAGAACAACTTGTGTTCGGGTTAGTTATTATATGTAGCATTTTTATGAATCTTACCAGCTGTAACGTAATCAGTCAGCTTGCAAATAAGTAAATAAATATCTAAAGAGCGTACATGCCAAAGGCAGCGCTGTCGTTGAAGGGGGTGTGGCGGTGTGTTAACCATCTGCGTGCCACGGGCATGTGTATTAGAATGCCAAAGCTTTAGTACTGCACGTCCCGCCTGTAGCAGAAAGGGTAAAGGGGCATGTTTCTTCGGCAAGAAATTTCTAAAAAGACAAAGCTTTGAGCGACACACTCTCAGCAGAATGAGGAGTGCCAAGAACCTGGAGACTTCTAGGACTTTTATGGGTAATTTAACCAGTTACTGAATGTTTTGAGAAGCAGAATAGCTACAGCTCTCTAGTTTACCATCAGCGGTACGAGGCGATTTGAGATCCTACGGCTAGGGTAGCAGCCATTGCCAACGTGACCATGGGTTAAATATATTAAATATGTGAGTGTTAGTAAATGGAGCTTTATAAATACAAAGTAATTCACGGCTCGGTCACTGCTCGTTCACAGTATCGCTGATATCTCACTAGGTTTGTACTTTACATCCACCTAAAGGTTAAATCCAGAGAAATTGTGAAGGCGCTCGCTCGCAGTAAAACCTGGAATGTGGCGGTGTTTAACACTTTGTTGGCCGAAGCCCAGCTTACCAACAGGCACAGAGTATACACGAGTCACAAATATACTTAAAGGGTTAACCAAAGCACAGAGGAATGTAATTAATGTCACCACCAAGGGTTGAAGGGTTAATCCGAACACAGAGGAATTTAATTAGAAACAGTAAGAGGGGGAGAAATTTGTCATAAAAGTAACAGGGGGGAGTGCTGCGTTTAACCCTGTGGTTTCCAACAATGGGGGACGGAGCAATGTCTGCTCTGGCAGTTAAATGTTATTTCTTTGGAGAGCGGTTAGTCCAAAAACATGTGGGCCAGGAAACGCAGCCGGTTCTAGGCTGTTTTAAGTTAAATATTGGAGTGAAAACAGGGGACAGAATGAGAAATTTGCAGGTGTCCGAGACACAGCGCAGAACTGGTGATGTAACACAATCTATGGGAACCTTTCTGGAGCAACTAAATCGGCATTGCGACACTGTTGTACAACACTACAGAATATGTTGGCGCCTTTCATATAAACAATAGTTTCATTTATCTTAACTCTTCAATACTAATGAATACATTCAGTGTATGTTTGAAAGTGTTTATATATATAATTTTTTTTTATTATTTTTTTACTGCAATTCATTCTTCCCACAAAAATGTAGAATACAGCATTATAAATTAAGTCAATACATATGTGCAATTTGGACAGTAAAACAAAGATAACCACCAGTTTGGGCATTTCTTCAATCCCTAAAAGACCAAGACTAGACACATCCCCATCACCACATGTTATCAGCCCTGGAGGGGTTAACTATTGCATAACGACATTCTGAAAGCAGGTTAGGTGAGCAGGTCCTTAAAGGGTTAATGTCAGGCACCCTGCAGCTCAGAGATCAGCAGACAATAGGTTGCATCATTCTTAAGTGACCTTTTGTCACCTCATGCTGACCTGAGCAGGATCCAGGTTCCTTTTCCAATAATGGGACAGTTTCCTGCCCAGAGAGGGGGACACACATCACATTCTGTTAACCCTTTCGTGCATTGTCCAGGCAGGCATACTCTTTTGTCACTTATTCCAAACACAATTCGATGTAGCAGGCTGACATAGTAACAATGTTGCAAACGCTGTGCATTAATAACATTAGTCTGGAGTTAACTCTTTGAGAGACAGAATGGTAATCTGATACTTGACTGAGCTGATGCAACCCTGATGCTCTCTGTATCTAACTCCCATTAATGAACTCACATGGTGTATAAATCTGAGAGTGAAGGCTGCCCTGGGGATACAAAGAAGCTGGGTCACGTGACAGCCATCCTTGCTGGCTGCTGCAGAACATCTTGGCAAAGCAATAGGATTTTACATTCTGTTTAAAAGCTGCTGTCCAAGTGGTTCTGCAGCAGCTGAGGTCTCCCACCCCATCTAATGAAAACAACTGTTGAACAAATGATAGAAATGCCCCGAAAAAAACCCACCCTGATACAAATGAGCCAGATTTTAGGTACCTACCTATTTTGACTTTGTCTTTGTAGCTCTTCTCGTTGAGACAGACCCCCCGACCATGGAGCAGGGCATGCAGGGGTTTCTCCTCTCCCTGTTTGGGGAGGCACCGCAGACCCCCAGCACATCTCTCAGTGTAGACCCCACAGGACTGCCCCTCTGCCAGGGCACAAGTCATACAGCAGCCACAGCCTGGCTCCTTCACCAGCTCACAGTCCACTGGGGCAGGGGGGCACATAGACATGGCCTTCTCATCACAGGGCTCACAGTGCACATGGGACCCCAGACACTGACAGACCCCCAGGCACAGGGTCAGGAGGAGGCAGGCAGACAGGGACATCTCCAAAAAACTTTACACAGTACAGGAGAAGAAGGGGGCAAACTGCTCCAAAACACTTCCCCTAGAATAATCAAAATCAGCTGAAATTGGACAAAAATTGTATCCCTAGTGGCTGATCCAAAAAAAGAGACAAGAATCAGAAAGGTAAACCCTCTTTCTTGCAGAACAAAAATGGGATTTCTCAAAAGTCTAAAACTGACAGAAATTGCAACAACAACAAAAAAATATTCAAAATGCAAAGTCCTTCCTCTGTGTATATTCAGCAATAAGGTGCTGTCCTGGAACTGATTACTTGTCTTAACCCTCCTTCAGCTGCCAGTCTGCAAACAAAAGTGAGCAACAGGTTGCAAAAGAAAAGGAGAGAGAGGGGAAAAAAAGAAAGAAAAAAAATACAAACAAACTGGCAAGCACCTCTTTTTGCAGAATTTTTTTTGAGAGGCTCAAATAAAAAAAAATGTAAAACAGATTCTAAAGTACATAAATTCTTGCTATTAAATGCCAAGTAAAATCCCTAGGCTATATAGTGCTGAAATGCTAACTTTGAAAAATAAAATAGTTTCCCCCCTTTCTTTTTATATAAAACTTAATCTCTCAACAAAAGGTAGAACTTATACATGTATTCTTCAAAAGGCAAGAGAAGGAAAAAAAAAATAATAATAATAATAACTTGAGAAAAGAAGTATGCAAGTCAGAAAAAAAGTACTTTGCAGATCTCCCAACAGTTTTTACCCTGCAGAAGTTTCTAAAGAGACTGATTACTGTGCAGTAGGGCTGTCTTTTTTAAATAGACTACTCCTGGCTGACTGCCAGTGCTCAGCTGCAATATGATATCACGACACCCATTGCTGAGTAGCTGCCAGTAACCATGTTATACAGCGAACGAGGAATATGGCTGGGTCTCTTATTGTGAATTAACCCACTCTCTGCACTCTGGGGGGACAATACAGCAATAGCTTGATTTCATCTAAATTTATTAAGTAATAAAAAAATAAAAAAACTCCAAAAGTTTCCAGCCCCTCCCTAAAACATTCCTTTTATTTTGTGTTATACTGAATGGACTGGGGATTATTATTTTTTATTTTTATTTTGAAATTCTTGAAATCATTTATGCCATAGGAGTTTGTTCTTATCTTCAACAGATCAGACTTCTTTTATTTCAGAGGACTATAGATTATTCTGTATTCAGACAGACAGACAGACAGATAAATAGATAGATATGTAGGTGGGTAGATAGATAGACAGACAGACAGATAGATCCATAGATAGATGATAGATAGATTGATAGATCGATAGATCGATATATATATAGATAGATATGTAGGTAGGTAGATAGGTAGGTAGGTAGATAGATAGGTAGGTAGATCGAGAGATAGATGATGGATGGATAGATAGATATATATAGAGATAGATATGTAGGTAGGTAGATAGGTAGGTAGATCTAAAGATAGATAATGGAAAGATAGATGATTGATAGATAGATAAATATATGATGGATAGATAGATAGCTAGATAGATCGAAAGATAGATGATGGATAGATCGATAGATTGATAGATAGATGATGGATAGATAGATACATAGATGATAGATAGTGGATAGATAGATGATTGATAGATAGATCGATAGATAGATGATGGATAGATAGATAGATAGTGGATAGATAGATGATAGATAGATAGATAGTGGATAGATAGATGATAGATAGAGTGAAATAATTCATCATGTCTCTTTCTAAGTTAGGTTCATAGATAGAGTCAGTCGGACATATACAGGATATTCTATTCACTGTGTGTTTTTCAGAGAGCTATACAAACATCTGACAGATTGGTGTTAAAAACTATTTCATTATCTCTTTTCAGAGACTCTCAGATTCTCTCTCACTCTCTCTGCTGCTCTCGCTACTGTATTACTGTGCAGTTATCATTATCATGTGATGCAGCGGGAAAGGGTTAATTGTCGATCAGAAAGATTAACTCTCTAAGCTCCAAAAGGGGCTGCAGTCAGGTAACCTGATCATCCACTTCAAGGGCTGGGATTATTTTAGTCTCTGTCAAAAGCAACAGACAATCTACACCTGTTGAGAGTTATAGGTTTAATCCCAAACTACAACTCCCATATCCTCAGCCAAGTGTGTGTGGGGGGCAGGGGGGACCTTCCTGCACCACTGCGTTTTGTGTTCATGCAGGTAACTATTAGTTAGTGGTTGACTGGCAGATGATCTTTGCAAGATTGCAAATGAAATCACCAGATGTTGGCAGAACTAGGAGGGAGGGTGAGATTATTTTTTGGTACAGGGGTTAATTTGCAGTGGGCATTGCCAGGTTACTATGGATGGATTATACGAAAAGATATTGCTATGTTTTCTTAACGTGTTTGCAGAGGATATGGATTCAACAAATAATCAGTCACTTTTTATCTTCTGAAAAGCATTTGGGAAATAAACAAATGTGTAGATCATATAACATTAAATCCTATTAGATTTCCTGCCGCAGTCTGCCCTGATTGGTCTCATTGCTTATAATGTCTGCGTAAACCAACCATTGTGCCATGACTGTGCCCAGTGTTATAAAGCCTTATCGTTATCTGCATTCTGGGCAAAACTTTGCAGACAATTCACCGGTCACCCATCATTATAACTTCTGTGTAAAATAAGGACCTGGCGAGAGGCATTTTTATATGAAAAATAATATATTAATAATATTTTGTTACTGACTTACAGTGGTGAGGGTGTGCCACTTGTGACTGCAAAGATGTATTAAATTTATAATAATTTATTGCCAATATCTATGCGCAATGGCTGCCAGTTCCAGCTGTTCTTTGGACATACCTACCTAGCCCCACAACCTACCTGGATGTCATGCCCTGATACCTGATAGTTTGTTATCTTCTCAGTCACAAAAATGTAATGCTTTACTAAGAGGTACACCAGAATACGTTTGTTTTTTCTTCTCAATTGTGTTTTAAGGTTTAATGTTTATTATTTCCCAACTCAATGGTGCTCATTTGACCTAGGAAGGATACAAGACTGGCCCCTCTGGAAATAGTCCCTTTAAAACAAGTCATTAAGTTCAAATATTTATATATAAATATATCTATATACATACACACACACACACACACACATACACACACACACACACACACACACACACACATACACACACACACACACACACACACACACACACACTATACGAGATCCAGCACACTGACTTATCCTATAAAGAGCAACTTCAATGTTGACAGATTGTATTATTATTATTTTTTTTTTTTTAAAACACCTAAAATAATTGGTGTTTAGTTACATTATTTGATCATACATCATATAATGTAACTAAACCCCCATTATTTTTGCCTAGATCAGGTTCTTTAAAAAAAACAAAACAAACTAATACAATCTGTCAGCATTGAAGTTGCTGTTTAGTAGATAAGTGAGTGCGCTGGATCTTGTGTACTGTATAAATTGGCCCCCAGCAGCACCCCATTTATGCATGTTCAGGTGAGTGCAGCCCCCTGGTTTTATATATATATAGATATATGTAAAAAACAGATAAAAGTCATATCTTGTAATACCTTTTTTATTGGACTAACAGAATGTTTTAATGACAAGCTTTCGGGAGGACCTCCCTTTCTCAAGTCTGAAGCATTTCTTAGCAAGATGACACATAGAATTCTAAGTTGTGTTGCGATACAGGGGTTAAAGCGACATTTAGCTATAATGGAACATGTCTGTGTGTCCTTATTTAAAGACAGACTGTGGGTCGCCATTTTGTTATGCTCTTCTGTGGATTGTCTGCTCACCGAAAATCTTCTAATTATAGCTATATTCTGATTTTATTGAAAACACCAATAAAACTGTGTGAACTGCATGGCTCTCATCCAGGCATTGCAAAATGAAGGCTAGAATTACTTAATTTGGAGAAATGGTCAGCTGGCCTAGAATTGGAAATCATATGGGGATCACGGTTTATTAAATAACCCCGTCCAGTTTAATGGACCTCGAGTCCAGCAGAACATCAATTTAATGTCAGCTTTTCACTGCAGGCTTTTTGTAAAAACAGACAACACAACATTACAGTACATTTTTGAACTTGTCTTAATATGCTCTTTTGTATAAAAGGCATTTATATGATGTTACCACTGACCCTATTCAGCAGAACTCAATTCTGAAGGATAAAGAAAGGATTCATATTTGTGTGACTTTCATTTAATTTCGAAGGCATTGTCTCTCTGGTCTATTCATTGTAATCAATAATTAAAAGGCCTCAATGAAATGAGGACAATCTATACTTGTCAGAGGTCAGAGTGGACGTGTAAAATGTGCAAAAGTTTGTGAGCCAACAGAATGTTTGAGATGCATGTAGTGCTAGTTTATGTCTGCAGAATGTTGTTGTTGTTTTTTTTTACTGTTACTGTAATGGTACATATAATGTTGGCAATAATAAATCTGCGAGTTAAAATTATGGTGAAAATTAACATTTTCTTTAGGCCAATCACAGCTTTATAAAAGGTGTTTTAAAATATAACTTTTTTCTTCAAGATTGAATAATTCTAGCTATCTGTAGTACACATATTTAAGCACTAGAAGGCACCCTTATCTGTGATAAAAATTTAAATAATCTGCACTATAAAACTTTCATAGCGTCCCTAACTAATTCAGACTGCTTTAGGAAAAAAGACCTACATGGCTTCGATTAACAGACACATTATTCCTAGTTCTGCAAACATGCTCGGTATTGCTGTATACTGCAGCATCTCAGATGGACTGTGACCTGTAGATTTACTGGTAAAAAAAAGTGTGTCACCGTACATTGTTACTTACACTCTACCAATAACATGCACGGCAGTTATGGAAATAAAACGTTTCTGTGTTTGAAATAATTGATAATGCAGATTATAATATGTATCAAAGGCTATTTTAGCTCCTGACAGCCCCAAGCCTTTTCACTTCATACATTTACTAAACCTCACCTGGGTTAATGCTGTAAGCAAAAACATCAGGTTATGATAGGAAAAATAATGCTCGGATAATGCATTTGATAGTAGCTGCCAAATGTCCCGATTTGGTCAAGGCAGTCCTGACCGTGTGAAAAACCGCCCACTTTCTGGCTGGCCAATCCACATCCTCATAGTGAGAGAAGGTGTTGTGAATACATCAAACAACCAATCAGAATGCAGCCTTAATTTCTTATGGATCAGTTGATTTTTCTCTGCGGACTTCGCACACAGACACAATTTCATAGTATCAGAGTGTCCTGCAAAAATATGCCAATGGCAGGAAATGCCCTGACTTTGTTTTGGACAGTTATGATGTTAGAGTGCGTTTTTCTTTGGTCAAAACAGTTTAAGAACTGAATTTAAATACATTACTGAATTACAAATTTTTGTAACCAAGCAGGGTAGTCCCCATTTAAAAGGCCCAAAATATACCTTATATACCTTTATTTAAATTAAAATCAAATTAAGGATATTTAGTACTAGAGACAGAGGAAATTGTTCTGGTAGTAATTTCTGTCATATTAATTAAAATTACAAGGCACAGGCTATAGCGGCATAGCAGGGGTAACACGACATATAGAACTGAAGCAAGTTTTCCGCTGTGTAGCACTTGCTGATGTACAGAGTTAATTGACTATAGGGCTCTACATGTGCCTTTAGCCGTAGTTTGAACTTTAGACTTTTGTTTCTCTTTTATCTGTGATTCTTGGAAACAGTGCGACCTTCACTTTAAGATGAGCCCACTGTGTCTATGTACAGGGCTCACCTAAAACCTCATCTGTCTAATCATGGAAGCTTGCCTTGATTAGGAATGCACGCACTTTACCTCTTCAGTCCTTTTTGCACTTAATAACCCAACTATTCAGCACAAAGATCTCTCTGCCTTCATTTAAAACTCAATAC